AACTTGGCTCATGTACTCATCTTGTACCTCATCATGAGACAAGTTGATGAAATGTGGGGAAAAAAGAGATTGAAATGTTTCTCTTTCAAAAGTACCAAAAAGAGCAACTTTTTTTCATTAACTTCTCAAGCCAAAATTGGAACAAATTAGTTAAAAATTGAAATTGGCTGTTACACTTGATGATGATATTTGTATTGCAGTGAACAAGCAAAAAGGTAATCATTATCAGTGTTTTGATGGATATATTCAGGTTGACCTTGAATTCAATCCTGAGTATCATGTTGGCAATGAGTAAAATTTGGTAAATTTCAAGATTAAAAAATGAGATTTACCTTTGAAGGAAAAGGCCTAAAAAAAGTAAATCTAAATGTTGAGCAAAATGTAAGCAAAATGTTTGCCTTTACCCAATCACATGCACCAGCTGACCATTGACCTGGCTTTTAGTTTCAAACTGTGACTTAATTTTACCCTTTTCATTACCGTTTAAAGCGTTATTTGATCAACAACTGTGGTCAGGCAAAGCCAATTGTTGATGGTTTACTTTTAGTCGATAGTCTCCAGGTTGCACTTTGAACACTTTATTTGCTACTCCTTGTTGATGGCTAATTTTATCATAACCATCATTTTATGAAGCAAAAATATTAATAGATGTTAACTAAAAATGGCAATTGATTTTTTTTCTTCTTCACCTTCACCGATTGATGGTCAACATGGAGCCAACATAATATCAACATTCATCTTCTTCTTCTTGTTTAGTCTCCTTCATTGATTATTAACATAATTTAGCCAATTACCTACACAAATGACCTCAAAAAAGTAAGGTGAATCAATTGATCGATATTAACAGCATCCTGGTTCTTAATTTAGTTTGCTAAATTGATCATCAATGTGTTGATATTTGGCTTCTTTTTTCATTCACCACTTCAAATTGATTGTGTAAAATGGACGAGAAAGGAAAGGAAGAAGATGGTGAAAAGTGTTTACCAAGATTATCATTGAATCATGGTTAATTAATTGTAAATTAACTGTTAACTGTCAACGAGAAATGAGCGAATCAAGAATAACCAAATTGCATGTGAAATCACAGGAAAAGAAGCTCGATTCAGTAGTCAACTTGCAACCCAAAAAACTGGCGGAAAACTGAGTTATGAAGATTAATGAAAATGGACAAGGTCAACAAGAGTCGGCCCACTCAATAAGATTGACCAAGCCTTTGGGTTTTCTTGGAAACCCTTTTGTCTAAACTGTTGAATTACCTCTAATAATGGAAAGATGTTTACATTTATCTCAATGTTTCCCTTCATTTACCTTTAAGGTGAGGCTAGGTGATAAGATGAAGGAAAAGCAAAGTGTAATTAGATCGTCAGAAGCAGATGATCAGGAATATGAAAGGAAAGATGAGGAATGATGATAAATCAGTTTACATTAAAATGTTGATCAACGATGAGAAACAAAAGATTGAAATGATTGACCATTAACAACAAAACATGAAACTCAAATCCTTTTTCTTCTTCTGGTCAGTTTCCATTGCAAACTCAACGATCCAATTTGTTAATGTGGACGATAAAATAATACGGAAGTTTTAATTGACTCTGCATGTTGTCCAACTGTAATTAACTGTTTATTAAAGCATCAGTGAGTCAAATAAAGAGTGAAATTTATGCTTTAATCCGTTGATTAAATTGTCACAATTTTAACCTCAATTGATTCTGCTCTTGTTGTTCAACTGTTGCTCGATTAATTTGCACTCTTTCCGTTTACTGATTAGTTGCACATTTTCATCACAATCTAATGACCATTTAATTCAATTACAATTTCGTTTTGTTTCAAATTCATTTTACGATTTTTTTCGGTTTCTTCTTCTTCTTCTCTGGTTTCATGTAATTTGGGTTTTTATTGAGTTTACCTTGAGATTGATGGTAAATTAATTGCCATTATTTGGTCAAACATTTACTGCTCATCTTGACCATTGATTAATATTCAATTTAAAGATATTGCACTTTTCATTAATTTATTCATTTATTCATTTGAAACCAGAAAATTGTTAAACAAGTTGAGCTTTTACAACGTTACTCTGTTTCCAGTCAACTTTATCAACAGTTTTTTTCACAGTTTCAATTAGAGTAATAAATAATAATATTTAACCAGAATAATTATACTTTTCATTTACCTCATTCATTTGAATAAAAATTTTAAACAATTTGATTAAAAATACGACTTTATTAATGTAAGATTATGCTAATTTGCGGCCAAGTCCAACAGTTGAAGCTGATTATCGGTTGAAGCCGAATAAGATGAAGAAGAGAAAGAATTTATTTTTAATTTCTATTTTCAACAAACTGATTCCGGAAAATGAACATATCATGAGATAAATGTGCCATCAATATCAAATGTCCTTTTTTCAGATAAAATGTTAAAGGATGAAAGTGGCTCAAAGTATCAACAGAACCAATACCTTTATCTCAATAATAAAGCAAAGTAAACGGATAAAATGATAAAACTTGGCCAAACTGGTAAAAGCTTAAACCTGAAAGTAATAAAGATAAGACACTTTCATAGTTGATTATCAATTAAATATTTGATTATTTAATCCTGACAGAGCAACGTCAATCAATTTCGAAGGGTCACTCTTGACTATCGATAGTCGAAAGTGTGTTTGAAATGTTCAGAGTTCAACTGTGAAAAGTGAACGTTCAAATGAAATGGTCATTAAGCTATAAATATTGAAGTCTGTTTCGACCTAATGATGAACCTTAAACAATGGATTCAAGACTAATCAATTTGTTGCAATAACTCGATGTCCGTTGAAACTTTTTGTCAAAACTCTTGACTCATGAAAATGTTATGCCAGGTTAAAAATAATGATGAGCTAACGGAAAGTGTTCAACTGACCAACACCAAGAAAAAGTTCTCATAATGATCATCTTGAGACAACTTTCACTGGCCAATTCAACTGAACAATCAGTCTGTCAATCAACTTATTGACGGGGTGACATGATCAATTCAATTGAACAGACAACATGGAAACTGTCAACCAGTTTAAAAATAGATTCATTCAATTTCTTCCGTTCGCATCTTTTTTCCTCTTTATTCAATTTGTTCAGTTTATTCAATTTATTGAAGTCAATAAATCAATTTTTTAACTAACTTTAGATTGAATCAAGCAAATGAAAAGGTAAAATGAACTTTTTTGTTTAAACTTTGATTCCCATTTCAAGCAAATTGTGAATATTTTTCAATCAAAATTGAGAAACGAAAGAGCAGCAAAAAATGGCGAAAGTAAGAAATGATTACAATTTAATGATTTTTGTACAACTTTATGTCATAGTCAATGTTGTCAAACACTTGTTATCCCAAGATTTGAGTAAAGTGAAAAAACGATGTTACCTGTGCAAAACCAGAAGAAAAAAAGAGTTCAATTCAATGAATCGTAAATGAAAATTTATTATTTACAGTTGGTTGAAAGCAAATTTGCCCAAAGTAATTGAGAAATGATTATCTATTATTACCTGTAAACAACTGTAACTATCGGTAAACAGGTTGAAGAGTCACAAAAAATGAGACAAATCATTAAATGTTGAATAATAAGTTGGTTAGAGTGAAAAAACTAATCAATAATTGACTGTGACATGTTGATGCGTTTTTAGACTCTTCAGTGAGAGTTGTCAAGATGCGGATGAAGGAAGAGAGAGGAAAGAAGAAGAAAAAATTTTCTCTCAAAAATCAAACTCAATTCATTGGAACATCATTTTTCACCTGTAATCAGTCCTATGAAGTAAAAGAAGAAGTTTTGTCGGAAGAAAATGATAATTTTGCTAAACAATTTCAACCATTCTCAAATCAGGTCAAAGGTTCGATTCTAACGTTTGTTGTAACCTGAGGATATATGGTTAACAGGCTGAGGTCTTCTAGTAAACAGGTAGTCGTTGGATATAAAAGTAGTTGAACAGGTACAAGTTGTTGATGCAATAAAAAGAAGAAGAAGGAAAGCCAAAAAAAGGTTAACTGAAGCCACTATTTTTAGGATATTTTGTAACGGTTTTTCATTCGATGAGAAGGAGAAGATGAATGATGAGCACGATGATGGTGATGAGGAGGAAAAATTGCATTCAAATGTTTCAACTTTTCTTTTTGCTCTAATCATGATTAAAACCTATTAAAAGGAAAATAAAAAGATGCCTTTTTTAATCGTTTCTCCTTCTTCTTTTCACCATCTTTTTAATTGTAATCAATTGACAATTTACTGAGAGAAACAAAGAAATGATAATCATGCGGTTTCATGTTTTACAGTTTAGAATGGAATTTTTCATCATTTTTGGGTGTCGATTATTCGCAGTCTAAATGCTGATGAAAATCCTTGAAGTTTTCAATGAAAATATTGAAAAGTAGAAGAAGAAGAAAAGTTGATTAACTTTAAATTGCAAACTGATTTCTCTATTAAAAGTTTTTCTTGTTGCTTTACTTGCTCTTGAAGTTTCATGATATCAACAGGGTGGAGAGTTAAGCTGGATAATCAACGAATTCAAGGTTACCCTGATTCAAGATTATCATCATGATGGTGATAAACAATTTTGTAATGTATATTAATTTGATTGGGAATGAAAAAAAGCTTCCAGTAAATGAGAAAAAAATTGCAAAGAGAAAAAAGAAAAATGGAAAAAATGTTTTTTCCTTCAATTTAACCTTCTGCTAGAGACACAACACAGAAGGTTTACCAAAATTATCAAGATTAACCAGATTATGAGATGATCAAGATTGATGAATTAATCACTGAATCATAAAATCCTGGTTAGTTTGATGATTATTCACAGAAGTTGATTTGACACATTGAGACACATTTCCAGTTTGATTGAAAATTGATCAAAAAATGAAGTCAAAACATTTGGTAAAAACTGTTGGTCAAGAGTCAAAATTTGAGTTTCCATTGATTTTCTGGTTTGGAATTGTTTTGTTTTTGTTCAACTTTGTTGAATTAATTGTTGGATTAATTTGATTCTTACCTTTTGAATCGTCATTAGAGCTAGTTGGATTAATCCGTTTATTGGTTGGCTGATTGGCATCATCATTGGTTAAAGTTAAATATGATCCTTGATTAAATTGATTCTCTCCAATGGTATTAATTGTATTTACACTTAAAATAACAAAAGTCAACGTTGTCACACTGAACAACATTGCCGAAACATGTATCCGCACCTTGGACTGTTTGGGACACTTTCGTGGTTGATTTAAATTTAATATTTGTCGTAACAATATTTTTGGTTCAACCGGACAAAACGGTGAAAACACGTTTTAAGGAGAACTTAAGAAAACTTTTTGGTCCAAACGCGTACTCCAAAAACTATCCAAAAATGGTTGCAACTGTTGAAATGAGGTAACACACATTAAGTGAGTTGAAAAGTTTTAAGAGGCAAAAAACGCTGAAAACAAGTTTCAACAATTAACCGTTAATTTATCGCTACTCAACTCTTGAGCGGCATCTGTTGAATTTATTGGGCAAACTGTATAATTGTAAGAAAATGTTAAGCAAAAAAGTTTTCAATCGACAGCAAAAATCGAAGACAATTTGATACCAATTTTTTTGTCCAACAAATGTACAATTCATTTTTTCCCTTGTCTCATAATAATTGTCATTATAATTGATATTAAACGATATTTGACTCGAGTCAATTGAGGACGTTTATGATAAAAAAAGATGTAAAAGGTGTTGAGGTTTAAGAGTTGAAGATTGTTATTTAACAAGATTCTTGCCTTTTCCTTACTTGCTTTAGTTACTGGGATCGGGATGAGATTTAATAAATTATCTGATTTTACATCAATATTTTCTCGAGAAACAAAACTTGGCTATCCAACGAGTCTTGGTGGAAATGTTTTGAAAGGTTTTAAACATTATAGACGGTTAATTTTATTTTTCATTTTAATACCGTTTGTCGTAAAAAAAATCATTTTTTAATTGTCTATACCATTTGTTTTTTGTCTGCACAGTATTCACCTCATCTGGTACTTTACTGAAATTTAAATGTATCAAATATGTCGAAATGTGTAAAACGACTGAAGCATCATACTATTGTACGTTTTGGCTTATGAGTCTGTAAATAGTGATTTAATCACAAAATTAGAAACAATTGTGAAAAACAGAAATTTAAATAAGTGAAGAACTGGAGTCCAGATCGCGCACAAGCTTAGAATCTTAATATGCTTGAACCACCAGTAAGTTCTCTCAACAACGTTTCGGCAGAGAATACTATGTTACTCTTTCGACTCTTCCTTTGCTGCTGAATCTAGAGTTTTTACTGCCATTGCAACACAAGCTTCTCTAGTTCGAGCTCCACCAATGAGACCTGTAGCATGGACAAATATGCAATCAGGAATACCGCTAACTTGGGACAACTTTTCATCCCTTAAACCTCGCCATTCAATATCAAGAGGGGTTCTCAGAGTAAATGATTTGGCGAATATAGGAACACAGCACACTCTCCAATCTTTGCTGAGATCTTGGAATATGGCGAATTTTATCTCTCCGACAATGTCCATTTCTTTTTCCACGGCGAATAAATGCTCTTTCCATGGTAAACCTCCATTGAGACTCAAATCAATTATTGTTCCAGAGGGATGCACAGTTTTACGATCCCTCACAGCTTGTTTTACATATTTTTTAGCAGGATACCAAACTTTACTCTAATAACTGATTTTTTCATGAAATTCCTGACCAACCAATAACATATCTTTCTGGAACCTAGAGAATTTTAGAAAATGAGTTTTGTAGATTTATCACTAACAACCACTTTATAAGTGTAAGTTCAACCACTTTTAAGAGTTAAAGGATGATGAGAAAAAATAGAGTATAAGTTGCTTTTCTTATGAGTAATTTTTCATATAAAACTTCATTCGTTGCTTCTTCATTCCAATTTGGGTTTGAATCAATTGGTTGCCTGGATGAATGTGGATCTAGTCATGAATAGTTCAACATGAACATGGTCTGGAAACGCATTCATCCAGTCATACATTTTTTAAGCATTAGTGTTGCCATCTTGAGGAGGCTAATCAAAGTAAAGTTGCTTGAGATGACTTTCATTAATTCAATGAATTGTGATTGATTTTTGAGTGAAATTAAAAATTTCAATTAAAGCCATCAGTTGTTCATTTTTTACCATATCCCTGAAATTCATGAAAAAATCCTGCAAATAGCTTCTGAGTCTGCAAAATCTTCAGATTGATCATTTTGCTATATTTGTACAAATGCTTTATTACTGAAAAAATATTGTACAAATCAAGAGTCAATTAACTGTTAAATATTAATGTGATTAGGTGGTTATTGACTAGGCAATCAAGGTACTATTTATTATGACAGTTTGTTTCCAACAAAAGGCCCTCAACCTATTTTGCTTGAATATCAGACAAACCAAGTTGAATAATACAAAAGAAAAATTCAATTTAAATTCATTCAATTGAAATATCATTTGACATAAAATTAATTTGATTAAGAAATCTCAACAGGTCCATAATTAATAAATGTGAATTCATATTCTTCAACAATCTCTCGGAGTATCTCAATATTATCTTCATCTGTCATTTCAAGTTCTTTGATTGGAATTGATTTGGTTCTATTTGAAATAGAATGCAAATATTTAAGTTGAGTTTTTTCATGTTTAACAGATTCCAGATCAGCTTCTTTATCTTTGATTTGAATTTTAAGAGTTTTAATTTGTGAATTGACTGTTTCCAAGAATTCATCTTTCACTTTCAATCCAATAGAATCTATTTTCTTGGTGAAAGGTCCGTTTGCAGAGAAACTAAATGTAACTCGACGATTTGGTCGCAATAAGTCAAGTAATTTAACCACAATCTCAGCAGCATAAAAGTATTCGTTAACGGCTTGCTCTACGAGTTTGTTGTATAGTTGTTCGGATTTATTATAAGGCCAGACATCGCGTCTTATAATCTTGAATAAATATATAGATCGTTTCATCATGACCATTGCTCTTTCAAATACGATCAACTGTCCTCTATTTGTAACTTTACAGTTGAGTTGACTAATTAGCCCATCGAATTTAGCAGCTAGAACTTCCCTCAGACCCCCTCCTTTGTATCTGCGTTTTGAATTGAATATTTTAGCTATTTCCGGGAATTTATATAGCTTTAAAGGCTTGAAACGGTCAAATCTATACTCTAAAGTTTCTCTATCGTAATGTATCTTTTGTTTTGTCATCAGGTAATGATCAGCCAAGTCTAGTATTATTTTGTACAATTCATCTTGATTGAAACTATCATATACGTATTTTGTATTACCATTCATGGCAGCTTCAATAAGCCATTCCATATGCCACAAATATTGAGTCAGTTCCCGTGGCTTGCGGTGCTGAAATGGATTCCAATCTAATGAGTCCATGTATTCTTTATATTCAAGTATATGAAAATAGACAATAAAAAGTCCATTAAAAGGTTTTTCATGGATTTCTTCATATACTGGGTCATTTCGGGTAAAATTTGCAGGTACATCAACTCTAGGCTTATAAGGTGGATAAATCTTGAATGTTAGATCGTACGCTCTATCGTAAACACTTCCGAAGGCAACATTTACACGTAAAGTGTCAGTTGCTATGTGTTTAAGTCCAAGAATAATATATGACGATTCCAAGTCATCTTTAAATGAATCCAATTTTTTTGTCAATTTTAAGATAACATTCAATCTTCGTAATGCTCCACTTCGACATGTAGCTCGAGTTATATTTTCACTGTCTTCTTTAATCCAATTAATTTTCTTTCTTTCTATGGATTGATAAACATCAGAAATAGCATCACAGCCTTTCTCATTAATCACATTGAAAATTTCATGACTTTCATTGAAATAATCTTTGAAAGTTAAAATTTTCATCAATCCATAAACGTCTTTGATTATTCGTTGACATTTCCGAATAGTTTCACAAATCTTGTTGATCTCATTGGATTTAGATGACTTAGACTTTTTCTTGGACGTAGATGTTGTGGTTACCAATGAGGAAGAGGTTATTTGATCTTTTAACGTTTTCAACTTATCGAGATAAAATGTCAAAATCACTTTTTGCATTTCATTTGTTTTAGAAGATTCTTTGATAATTCCTAACTCACTTTGAGCAAGTTCAATGAACAAGCGAGCTCTATCATGTTTGTCATTAGTTGGATGAGTTTTCAATGATCGTTTAAAATAATCAGGATCCAGAATGGCTTCCAAGTCATATGGAGATTTAGCATTCTTATTTAGTGAATCAAAAGTGTCGTTACAATCATTTACAAGTTGTTCCATCTTCGCTCTAATTTTACAATCTATATCTCTGCCACGGTAAAGTTCAGTTGAACGCATTACAATACCATTCCACCTCTCCAAATTATTATATAATATTTTCAACGAATCCAGGGTTTCACTAATAACTGATAATTTAGTTTTTTCAATAACAGCATCTCTATCGCTAGGAAATGGATAATCCTCTTTGACATCGAGTGATAACTCTTTTAAATTATACGACAGAAGTGATTGTTCAAGTGAATTGATTGTTTCACTGAGTAAGGCTGATAAGTTATACCATTTGTCTGATGATCTATTTGATAAATCGATAATACTAACTGGGCACTCCATATTACTGGTACAGTCACAATGTAATCCATACACTTTCTCGTTTGTAAATCAAAAATGAATTAAGTAAACTGCTATGTACTTCTATGATACCAGGCGATGGGTGTGAACAATAAAATTTCAAAAAAATGTTTAAGAAATAATTGAAAATATTAAAAACTGGGTGAATAATGAATATTGAGCTTCATGACACATTGAAATTACATGGTTGAATTGCACTGAATAATCAACTTATTTATTAACAAAAATACTGATAAATTAAAACTGTGAATTACTATCAGCCTCCTAGCAGTGAGTTTCGTCTGTGACGCAACATTTTGAAGCGCGTAATTTGATTCGAACAAATTTTCAAATATTTTAATATCGCGTTTTACATTGAACTTTTCAATATTATATTTACTTAAATTATTATCGGCAGTAAGAAATTTTTTCAAATAAATATACAGTAAGATCCCAGATAATGAGAGTATAATAAAGATTGAGGGCCATTGAAAAATCTCCTGACAGTATCTGGTAATCAACTGTAACATTGAATTGATCGGTTGATTTTTCATCTAATAAGCACAAAAAAACTGATATGAAAATTAGTCTTTCAAAATGAAGATCTCCATTCAAGAATAGCGGTAAAACTGTGATAAAATGTAGTTGTTCAAATCAACATCTACAGATGGCACTGTCTGACTAAACTCTAGTTTACTTTCCATTCAAAAATTTGTTTCAAAAAAGTTAGAAAATCCAATTTCTGAAATGAATTCCTTGTTTTTGGCCGCCGAAATCAGTGTT